CAAAAGAACTAATATATTTTCCTTTGATCACATATAACGAGATATAAAGTAAAAAGAGAAAAACGGAATAATTGTATTAATATTCAATGACATGATAAATTTTGATATCAAAAGACAGAAATTCAAATTATCCACGGCCGTAACAGTAGTGAATATAAAGTTAAAAAGGAAAATCAGGTCGAATGGCGTTTTTCTGCATTATTCCCGCCAAATTTTATAATTGGAGATTTTCTGGATTTGTCTGTGTTAAACGTAATCAACGAACAATAATGGGATTATGAAAAACCGTTAATTTTCAATTTTTTGTTTTGCATGTTAATAATAATTCAAATCAAAAGGCTTATTTGGTGAGGGGAATTTAACCTTAAATACTAACAACGAAGTTCCTTGACGCATTACTAGTATATTACCATTGGTATTATTCCAGAAAATTGAACCTTTAACTCGCTAGAGATAATGTTTTTAGTGCGTTCTCCAACTTAAAATACTTCAAGTATTGACAGCTGTTTCCACCTATTTAAGGTCTCTTTAGTATCGAACAACTTGTAGTGTCACACCAAAGCAAAGGACTACCTGAACTTATATACTTTTCATGTAAGTCAACAGAGGCGAGATTTAAGAACATCACGTGATCCACACCGCCTTTGCCGCGATCGGTACACACTATGCAACCAGGAATGCACGGCAAATTGTTTTAATCGTGCTTTAGGTTGAAGTAACTTTTATTTTACAAACAACATATTTAGTAAACTGAACCATACAGCGGGTTGGTTTCACTAAAGTTTTCTGGGTTAATTTAACCAATTTAAATAAATACTTATGGGTCAACTAAATTAATATAGTTAAATGAACTATTCCTTTTTCTGTGTAGGTGCACTTCTCAAATATTTTTAGATAAACACCGTTTTGGTGTTTGCTGTATATAACATTTTCAACCAAAATTCATGGTGTTTATATTAACACCACTTGGTGTTGGATTTTGACACCATTTTAAGATTACTCTTTACACCACAGATATTTTAAACAGTGTAGCAAGACAAATTTTCTTTCTTAGAAAGTTCCTAAGCTTATCAATTAAGAGATGCAGTTTTCTTGTTGTTGTACCAAGAAATCGCTTGCTCTTGATTTAAGCTAATATTGTAATATCTTTAAACAAATAGATTAATCTTATCCGTCAAGTAATTTTAAAAAATGTATAGGTATATAGATAGTTTTATTTAGATTAAGAAACATTTTTTATTTTATATCTTTGATGTAATAAAAATCGTATTTTCCAGGCTATTAACACATTATCTGGTTTGGTTGAGTATTGCAAAACTGACTGGCGTAAGTGAATAGATTTTTATTTAATAAAAACGTCGAATACGCGTGGCACAACACAGAAGCGCTGGAATATAAATCGTAGCGTGAAAATTTACATAGTACCGCGATAAGGATATAGATGAAATCAATTTTGTCGACTCCCTTATATTTGTCTACTTCGAGAACAAGTCAATTTTCCGGAAAATGCCGGATTATCTTTCCGCGTAAAAAATTCGAACGCCAACATATTTGAAACAGATTGTTTGTCTTTCTTATTTACACATGTGCGCACCAGATCCTGATATATTGAATCGAAAATCTTTCCTCAGCAATGATGAACAGACGATATGTTTTTTCGGGCAAACAACATCAACAAGTTTAATTGATTTGTCGGAAAAATAAGGTTTTATAAGATCAACTGGCTTTTTGTGTTTTTGTGCACTATACGAGTATATATATAATAAATTTGAAAACATATAATACAAACTATTTTTTATGAAATCCCTGCTGTACTTAGGCAAAAATGTGTTCCTGCGATCTTTCATCTTACACATTCAGGTCGGGATTTTCTTGCAGGAAGGGTGCCGAAATCCTGCTATCAGTATATGGATGCCGGTTTCTTTATCAATATGTATGTCGGCACTTCGCGCGCGTATGATGAAACCCCCTTGCATCCTATCAGACCCACGTAATGCTTTCCAGGGAATACTACCAGCTCCCCAAGCGTATTTTTATTTTATGTTTACGTATTATTAAAAATTCAATAGGGTGACGAGACATTTTTCTTATCTCTACCATGGGAATTTGCGGCTTTGGAAGCAGGGTTTAATGCATTCGAATTTTGGATTTACCTGTACGCATAAAGAATACAATTACCCTGATCTTCATATCATACCACATTTATAACGCTTTTATAGGTTATAGGCCCAGAGTTTAAACTCTGGGCCCATAACCTATAAAAGAGTTATAAATGTTATTATAATGTTATATATGTATACATGTATAAAGTAAAGAAACTTTCGACAGCCTTGATTATCTTTTGACGAGTCCAAACAAAATAAATCAAACTTAACAGCAAGACTGTTACATGAGGAGAAAAGTCTGACAACATAATATAAAGAAACCGAGCATGCTACTTTCAAAGATAAGAAGAAAAATGTTTATTCTAATTGTACTAAAAAGATTCTAGATCCAAGAAATCTTATAATATAAAAACCTTTTTAATAGGTTATGGGCCCAGCTTTAATTATGACTCAATATTTTGATACCATATGAGAAAATAATCATTTTCAAAATGTATACTTTATTTAATTAACTATAAATGAAAATTTAATATTGATATTACATCCAAATTTATTAATTAATCCGTATATTTCATGATAAATCCTAAAATCAGTTTATATTAGTCAAATATAATTATTTTATGGCAATAATAGTTTATTAAAATTGGAGAGCCTTGTCTACTTTAAATAAATATTTCCCGCTATTGAAGCTTGCTTTTTCAGGCTTATTGACGCTTTACCACACTATAATCATTAACTTTAATTTAAAACATAAACAAAAAAGTTATACAACAAGCTTCATCCGCTTTTTCATTCAGGTTAAGTGACTGGTGCCTTCTTCCCCTATGTTTATCTTTCTTTAAGCCAAAACAAGTAAACATGGGTTGTTTACAAAACTCGATATGCATTTCTTACTCCCTTGCAGCGTTTTATTCGATTAAAAAGTTTGAACTTTAGAGAAAAGATTGGTAAAAGATTGAATATTGTATACTTTGTTGTTTGGAGATCTAACTGTCTTGAATTATGCTCAACCAAAACATCTAGTGATTAAAATAACAATTATTGATAAACTTCTACTGAGAGCTAAAACAGACTGGGGAGAGAGGACTGGAAGGACAAGTTTTATCAAGTTTGGCTTCATGGTGCGAGAATTTCGTAATATTTCGCGTTACACCGACCTTTGCTTAAACTAATAACCGTAACTTTCTTGTCCCAGCTCGCGGCAAACTGCTTTCATCAGCGGCTGTTGCCTGGCTTTGTCTAATACAACTTTTACGGTTAGGTTTTTGGGTTTTGCCTGCGGTTTTAAACAGAGATTAGACGTTGATTTTTTCCTGCATTTCATTTAAATTATCTCTTATGCCTTGCGCACAGGTTTAATTACGAAATTAACAAGCACCTTAATTATTAATTTTAATGAGGGTCCTTACGATGTAACGGGTTGTCTCTTTGGCACTAACCTGAACAAGGATTTTATCCTTTTTATTAGTATTCCTTATGGCTTCATATTTTCAAGGTAATATTTTATAAAATAGCTTGTTTTAAAATAAATTATATTACGATAACACTGTTAAAAATGTTTGTAAAATTTTTCCAAATTGAGTTGTAATGAATCGTGTAGTCAATTTACAAAACTGAGTTTTATTATTACCATATTGTGGTGCGTAAGAACGTCCTAAACATGTTTAGTAAAAAAGTAAGTAAAAGTATTCATTAAAAACATTTATAAATATATTATTATAACCTATATTATATTATTATATAATAATTGATTTACAAAACTATAATTGAAATAAAGGTTGGTAATATTTCAGTCCTCCAAAATTATACAAACGTTAAATTAGTAATGCCGGGTATGAAATTTTAAACACACGGCCAATAAATTTCTATATGAATCACCCGTTTTTAAATTGTAATTTAATAATTGCGAAATTTAAATTTATTTTACGTAAATCCGTGCCCCAGTATTGTTTAATTAAAAACATCGACTGTGACCCTTTAATTTTGATTCATAATATCGCTGGTATAAATTAAATTATATCGTATCGCCCCATACGCATGGCTTCAAATGACGTCAATAATTATTTTATGTAATTAGTTTATTATTATCATTATCATTATCATCAAATTTATTGCATGCGGCGTAGAATTGTTTGAATAAATAAAACAGCCAACTTAAATAGTTTGAAAGTAATTTTTTTAACTGACAAAACAAATAAGAAAGCATTTGTTAATATGAGTTTCTAGTTTGATAATTTTATTTTGTAAAACTTACTTTTATTACTTAATTACTGTATTTTTAATTAGGCTATCATATCCTTAAAAATTATGACAATGTTGAATTAAAAAAAAAAAAATTATAAAATACAAGTGGAATGTTCCACGTTGCGTCGTTATTACACCGTAGTAGTTTAAAAGACGTTCTGCTAATATGGGGGGAAAATCGCTTGTAGTATAAATTGTTTTCCCTTATTAAATATTACTCGTTTACCACACCTCTGCCCGCCTTTTTAACCCGCGAGTTCCCTGCTTGCTCCGCAATTTGGCCAGATTTTTATGCGGCCCTTTTAATAAAAAGGGCTCCCTCTTTACATCGGCCAAATTAAAAATTCTTTAAACGCAAATTTTTCTTTCGCAACTTGCAAAACAATTTTCCAATTAACTGCAAGAACCCGAAAATTTAATCTGTTTACGAAATAATTTAATACGAACATTAATTTTAAATTGGCAAAAAATTTATATTGTACTATAATACTTTGCCAAGAAATTTAAGGAGCTTATATCTTTGTTCTGACAAGGGAAATATTTATTATAATAATATATATAGCCAATAACAGTTACTTACCTAATTTTTTTAAAAAGAGCATGAGGGGCTTAAAAAAACGACATGAATTACATAAATATTTTAAGCTTTATTTACATTCAAATTCATAAATACATATATGTATAATATAGATAATACATTATCATATAATATGTTAATAATAATTATTTAATTATTAATGTTAAGGTCCATTAAAAGCACACATCTTAGTAGTGTAACAATCGCTTACATATGGAACAATAATTATGAAAAAGCTGTTTTTTTTCTTCAGAAAAATCCAAAAAATTGATAAAATTATAACATCGATTTTCTTGTTAAAAAGATATGTAATATTTTATTAGTAGTTGTCAATTAATTTAAAATTTTCTTATTTACAATTGGTTTATCACTGACTCATACTGATTTGTATATTGAAGGTCCCAGTGGAAAAACTTGATCTGTTTGGTGATTTGTTTTCTGAATGTGCTTGTCATGTTTTTCCACTTACCCCTTCAATTATAAGTAAGGGAAGGTGACCTAATAGCCCGGTAACTAAAAAGTCCCTAAAATGTAGTCCATAACAAAAATATCACTTTCCTCCTTTCGTATTGTCATATTCATAAATTTGGCCGACTTGAACGCGCGTGGTGGTCCCAAAGTGGTCGCAGCTGAAGCTGAAGCTGCCATTGTGCCGTTCACCACCTTCCAGCGGCCATCTTGTCGATGATTCGTCGAAATTTTGCCGATACGACAACAGGTTGTCGTTTTCGTCATCGTCTAGTGGGTACTATTTGCGTCAAGTCATCAGGCTGTGCAACCTGTTTAGGTTTGTCAACGTGATCGAGTCGTTGGGTTCCAGTTGTAGAGAGGCCTCGTAGTTTTTCGCTGCTTCTTTGTACTTTCCGTTCAGGTGCAAGATGGCGCCAAGGTTCGACAAATTTTGGGCGTCCTGCAGCAAAAGAAAACAAGTTTAAAAACTACAATACAAGAAAAAAGCTTTAAATGGTGACAAAAATAGATGTCCTAGATTTTAAACGTAACTACATTACATGTAATTATGTAGCAACGTAAAATTAAATGGTAATTACAGCTCTTAAATAAATTATAATTACTGTAATGTATATATAATTTAATGAATAATTTTATTCAATTTTAAAATTGAAATTAAATATTTAACATCAGACACATATAACAAATTGATTGTTTATTAATATTGCAACGTGCAGTGTGCATGTAACATTAATTTTCGAATAATAATTTTATATTGTATTATTTAATTTAAAACTTTTTCCGATAAAACCGCACCCGATCATAAATTATTTCGTATGATAAATATTAAATTTTATAAACGTTTTTAATAGTCATTTCCAGTTAATAATGCGTTTATTATCACTATGATTGATAAACGCTTGTGTTTTATAAACATTGCCTGCGGTTCTGATTTATAAACTATTGTGTGTTTTAATCAAGGAACAAATTAAATTTCATTATTTTGATTTTTTGGCTATATAGGCCTGTTTAACCAAAATTTTTATTCGTACCTATAATCATCAAAAATATACATAATTGTTTTTTATGTGATTCTTCAACCAACCTAATATCACTCCAACATCTAAAATTCAATACATAATACTACACACAATGTGTGTCACACATAAATATAGTTATGTAATAATTGTACACATACATTTGGTGGTTAATTATATCAAATTCCACTAATTTAGCAGCTATTTCATAATTCCAAACCAAATATTAACTAACACAAGAAACAATCTTCCAAGATGTCGGACACTTTCGTGAGTGGGGGATATTTTTAAGAATACGCCAGTCATACCAATATTTACTAATCTTAGAATAAATATAATTATATTTATATCCAGTATAGTTTTATATCTTTAAGAACAGAATAGAGGGAATTTTCCAAAATTTGGTCCAATCGATTGTTAATCGTAAATTAAGAATAAGATTATCTCATTTAAAGTCTGTCTTAACATTTAACAGGCAAGGATAAGATCTGCTTGTTTAAAGAAAGATTAATATTTAGTTTAATGTTAGCTTTAGCCTTGACAATATTAGGTCAATCATGTTGTTTCAACTGTACTTGATTTTAAGCTAAGAAATAAAATCTTTTTAATTTAAGAATAGGTTATTATTTAAAAGAAACTCAATAGCATCTTGGCTCGACAAATTGCCAGTGTAACATCGGTATGGTAGGCATAGCAAGATCAAGTGAGCTAATAATATAGTCCGATTGTAATGAAGTTGCCGAAATATAAGTCATGCAAATCTAATTCAATTATATAGTCGGGGGTTCTGCTGTAGTGATATACAGCCTAATTTCCAAGTCGGTTTTAATACACTCCCAGATGTTACTCTCTGGATGTCTGTCTGCGCTATTACCGACGACTTGCTAAGGCTGACACTGACTAATCGCCGAATAATTTACTACGCAAGAAGCAAATTGTTGCTATTTTTAGTCCACATTTTTTGCCAAAAGTTTTATAAAGGTAATAAGCATTTTGATAATTTCAAAGGTTACACATTGTTTTATTAATGTTTAACAAATTATTTTGTTACATTTTTGCGACCCCCCTAAAAAGTGTCATTTTTGATTTAGCGTGCCAAAATTACCCCAAATGTTTTTGTCCATTGTCTCAAGTGTAATTAAACCATTAATGCATATAAAAGAAATAAATTGCCTTTGTATAAATTGCTTTTTCATTTCAACAAATTTTAATTTGCCGAAAAGTACAATCTAATAAAGTTTTACGGTTCCGTAGCATGTTAATTAAATACTGGTAGAAGGGCCGTTAAAGTTGCAATAAAGCACTTTGAAGGAAATAAAAATTGCAATGGCTGGCAACCTTATTTAATTAAAAATGCTCCTAATCTCGCCCACATTAGGATTTCCTTCCTTGAAACGCAAAAAAGTTGCTGCTGGCTGCAGAGGGTTTATATTTTTTTCTTTAATAGTATAGTTAGATAAGGCAGGAACAAAATTGCTTTTTATTTTAAAAAGAATTAATTTCTTGCTATAGTTTTAAAGAGTAATAAAGACTTTTATTAAAGGCTTTAAGTTTAATATTCCGCAATTTTTATTAGTTCATGAAAGTTCCCTGGAGCTTTTTTATTTTTCCTTCTTTTATTAAGAATGTATGTTACATTAGCCGGGGCTTAAGTAAAGTAATTACGTCTGTGTGGAAAGTTCCACTGAAAACGAAGAAAAAAGCGCCATATTACAGCCACCTTTCCTTCACATAATTAATTTAATCGCCGGCTGAGGGAAAAGTTTGAATAAGCAAAAGCCCCTCTTTGTAACCTTTTATTTCGCCGGAGCCCTAAATAAATATGCTAAGCAAAGGCTGCAGGCTAAAAAGGGGTAATTTTAAAATATCCCCGACTAAGTGTGTTTAAATAAGATCCTGCGAATTATGCTTACGTCCTTTTTTCTCATTCATTTAACAGTCAACGCCGTTCTGACGAGCTCAGCTAAATATTTACCGAAGTACGTTAAGTTTTAGACATTTTAGGACTAAATATATACGCCAAACGAATTTTGGTTCAAAACAATGCCTAATAAAGTTTTATATTCACTGAAAAGATACAGCCTCTTTATATTTGTGTTTGTAGTTTGAAACCTTTTGCAACCAGCTGCATTCGAAAATCCAATGAACTTTAGAAAAAAAGTGGCATCGTACATTTGGCTGAAAAACACCTCTTAATATTATCAGATTCTAATAAATGTTGTGTACTACTTATTTAGATATCAAAAAATTAAACCTTGCTATTAACCAGTGATGTAATTGGTTACCTTCTTACCGTAGGTTTTAGGGCAACCGCACGTCGATACCATTTTTCGGCTTCCAAAGGTCGACTGGCTTGTCGCATGGCGATAGCTGCAGCTACCGATAGCTGATAGTCGTCGGGTGCTAGCTCAGCTGCCTTCTCATACATATCTGCAGCTTCACTGAACTGATGTCGATACACTAGGAATTCGCCTGGAACAAAGGAAATTATATTAAGTATATAACAATGAAAACATGATTTTCTGGTGACTGATTATGGTCCAAGATAACAAAATGGATTGCTAGTTTAAGCACTTTGATTAATTGATCACTAAATACCATATAGTGGATTTTATAAATAATTTAAACTTAATTATTGTCAAGATGTGTTACTGAAGTAATATTGTGGCCCAGGCACTTAAAAATGATTCAGACCAATCGAGTTAGGTTATGGCCTAGGATGTGAAGACTCATTATTAACTACTTTGTACCTAAAATAAATAAAAAGGTATCGTTTTACAAATAAAATAACATAATAATAACATATTATTAAATAACTTTGTTAATACATTTGAAAGTGGGAATCATTCTTGTGAAACAATGTAAGAGGCTTTATATATATATATACAATAAAGTTTTGTAAGTCCCGTCTTAGAGAATAAATAATCTGCATTAATATTTATAAAGTTTATGAGCTTTATAGAGCTTTCAGCTCCCAAAGTAATCATGTATCATTTATAAACAAAGTAGTAGAGCAAAAAAAGGGAGGTAGACGAGAAACTTATTATTACTAATAAGTAACGACTTAGTTGGTGCGATAGTTAAAAGTAGGGATCATTAATTCTGGCACTATTTCAACCTGCTATGGCACGAAGCACCAAGGTAATAAAAATAACTTTTAATATGGCAAAATCCTGCGAAATAAGTTTTAATTAGCCCCTGCAAATCCAATTTGCTACTTAGGAAAACTTCGGCATAAATTACGAACTACTCGAAGAATTAAAATATTAAGAAGCCCTAACTATAAATTTAAATTCCATTGACACCCCGTTATTATCCTTCCTTGGGTACCTCCTCCTACTTCTTGAATTCGCCTAAAGTTTAAAGTGATCATTTTTATTTATTTTTTTATATCAAAATGCATAATGCAAACACAGACGTCTGTCTAGCGGTTCTAGAAGCTAAAATAACCACAAGCTTTCTGTCTTGTATCTCAATTTACAATAAGGGGGAAATTTGTAAACTTTAAACTTCTTAATCCATTTTTTGTTTCGGTCCAATACACTTTCATTAACAGCATAATCCCGTGCAAAGTAAGTTGGAAACTGTGTTCAAATATCGTACAATTGCCAAAGCAGTATTACGTACGTCTGTGTAGTATGGAGCGAGGATGGGAGAGAATCTTCTCCAAGAAGCATCGGAATTAATTCTAAATAAAGTCGGTCGTACGTATGCAGCTCGAATATGCGAATCACGACGGGGTAGGGGTTTTGTGTATGGGCAAAAATTCATACGAAACGGGCCAATTTGTTTCATGACGGCAATTACATCCAGAACAACTGGAATAAAGTTTACCTATAAATAAAGTAAACGACGTTCAGCGACGCTGGCAAGTGCTGCCGTTAAAATTTCGAATGCAAATAATATTCGCTTAAGTATCCCATTCCCTGCGAAATCTTTTTATTCTCCTACCGACATTTTCAGAGGCCGTAAAACAGATTCATTTCTCTTTACTAATACTGCATGTTTTGTTGTATGGGGGGGACTTATATGAAGGAATTAATGGGGCAAAAGCAAAGGCCCGAATGCTCTCAGAGATTTTTGGAGGCAACCGGCTTAACATTTTTCTTTTTGGAGTTTTGCAGATTATTTATTTTCTAAGACGGAACACACAAAACTTTATTGTTACCGACTATAATCTATATATATATAAAGCCTCTTACATTGTTTCACAAGAATGATTCCACTCAAATGCATTAACAAAGTTATTATTAAACATTATTACACAATCATAGAGATTGCGCTAGTACTAAAAGAAAGAAGAAAGAAGTAGAAATTGGGGTTAGATCGATCTGAAAAAATCCGAATTTTTTATATGTCCAAAGTAGTTAATAATGAGTCTTTACAGCCTAGACAATAAACAACCTAACCCGATTGGTCTGAATAATTTTTAAGTGCCTGGGCCACAATAAATTACTTTAGTAACACATCTTGACAACAATTAAGTTTAAATTATTTACAAACCCACAATATGGTATTTAGTAATCGATGAGTCAAAGTGCATAAACTAAAAGCCACAATTGGTATCAAATTTTACCAAAAAATTAAATTAAAAATAGATTACTTTATTTCGGCTACAATATTCTTACTTTTGCTATAAGTTAACAATAAAATTTCAAAGTAGAGAACTGTTGTGCATAAATTAAATTACTTTTTCGCTCTTAAAGCAAAAGGGTTAAGTTTTCGGAGGTATACATTTCCGTTTGAAGCAAAAAAGCCAAAAAGGTTTCCATTTAAATAACAAAGAGATTCGGAAGAGTTATGAATATAGTCAACGACGACTTGTATGTTGCGAAAAAGTTTTTGTTGTTAGAGATTAAAGAGCGCGATGAAAGGGTAGATTAAAAGTTTATTGCCAACTTAAGAACCTGAAAGTCACTTGTAAACGATAGGGCAAGTTTTTAGTTTTGTTAAAGCTGAACCAATGTTGGTATTAATTAAAATTATTCATTATCAATCCTGAAAAAGTAACAGTTAATAAAAATTTCTTGAATATCAATATATCAATTAATGAAACGTTGTACAAAAGTTTTTAAAACCTGGGGAAACACAAATGGATTTTTTTACTAATGATAATTGCATTCTTTTTATGGTTTTTATTGAGTTTAGCTTTAGATTTAATAGCTCTTTGTTAATTAAAGAAAGAACTTAATTAGATACTGAAAGTTTTTAAATACAAATAGATGTAATTGAAAGAAGGTTAGACTAGATAGAAATATAGACAAGACCATGGGGTAAGATAGCAGATTTTGTGGTAACAAAGCTAAAAATATTTATGACAGTAAAACTTCTTTCTTCAGAAAGCTAGAAAGGAGGCCATAAAATCAGGAAGGAGTATCGTGCTTCTGTCACTTAGTCATGCAGACCGGTAAATGAAAATTCAAGTAATTTCAGCCATCTGAAGTTCGATATCAATTAAGTTAATGAGTCGAGTTTGGCCTATCTCCCAGCGCTCGCTGATCAATAGAATGGAAAGGTGTGACGTTACAGAGGAAACTGGTTGTTTTCCGGCAAGCGGGGATTATTAAATTACATCGGCAAACTGAAAATCGGTGACGGCAACACCATGTTTTTAACTTCGCGATAATTTGAACACGAAAACGTTTACTGCATGTACCAGCATGTACTATACAACACCGAATTTGTCAAGTTTATAGCAAGACACATTATTTTTTGCTTTTAAAATATTTAATAATCTAAAAAATACATAAATGTCCTATATTTTACTTAGCATTGTATAAAATGGTACATATCTTAACTTGACATTCTAAAAATAATCAAATCAAATTTCACTAATTTAGCAGCTAATTCCAAACCAAATATTAACTATCACAAGAAAAAATCTTCCAAACTGTCGGACACTTTCGTGAGTGTGGTATATTTTTAAGAATACGCCAGTCGTACCAATATTTACTAATCTTAGAATAAATATAATTATATTTATATACAAAAAAAAGTGCTCTTTTAGTTCCACCCTTACTTCTTAAGAAGTCCCATAAGCCAACTGAATGGCTTGTGCGGGTTAGGGGTAGGAACGGTATAGCTTTATATCTTTAGGAACAGAATAGAGGAAATTTTCCAAAACTTGGTCTAATCAATTGTTAATCTTAAATTAAGAATAAGATTATTTCATTTAAAGTCTTTCTTAAAATTTAACAGGCAAGAATAAGATCTGCTTGTTTAAAGGAAGATTAATATTTAGTTTAATGGTAGTTTTAGCCTTGACAATATTATGTCAATCATCTTGTTTCAACTGTATGTACTTGATTTAAAGCTAAGAAATAAAATCTTTTTAATTTAAGGATAGGTTAATATTTAAAAGAATTTTTTTTAAGAAAAAATTTGGAAAACTCTTTCTGCAATTGAGTACACCACCATTTAATAATTTAAAAAGTTTAACAAGTTTGAAACACTTTAATACAACCACCTGGCTTATTTCAATCCCGATAATTATTTACTCCCTAGTACGAGACTAAACGAGCAAAAACAGCGAATTCTTTTGTAGGAATTTATTTCAATAATACAGTCAGTTTTTAAGTAAAATTAAATTGATTTGTGCACTTTTCCTCAAATGTAATGTTAGTATTTCAAAACTCCATAATTTCTAAGCGAGTCGATCGATTTTATAAAACTAAGCAGAAATGTATGAAGAATCAAAAACCCTTTATAATGAAGTGTAATTTGATTTGATTTAAAAAAAAACTTCTATAGAAAGCATTATCTAGAGATGTGAAAGTGAATACTATTGAATAGTGGTCAAAGACGAAAATATCACATTATTTGCTGATAAAAACCATTCCTGTAATCCGAGGAATAACCTTTTGAAGGGTTTTCCTCAAATTGCCCAGGCCTGAGTGCGATTAGGCTAATTCCCCAGGCGTCTCGGAGAGAGGGGCGCAAAACACTACGTTGCGGTCTCACAGGGCGCCGTGTTGCGTTGTGTACTAGACTTTCTTCTTAACCTTCCTTACACGTCCGCAGAGACGCGTTACAAGTGGCGCGAATTCCCGCCGCACTTTGCCGCAAATTTATGGAAATTCTGAGACGCCGGAGGCGGCAAAAAGACCAACCGCCGCCGATGCATAGACGGAATATTGAGGCACAATAGACGATAGGTACTTTGGAGGGAGAATTTCGACGTATAGGTGTCCAATATCGGCTTTGAGAGGTGGGTGGAGGTTTTAGATGATGCCGTGGGATAACAAGCAAGCCAATTCGACAGGATTTACGCACTCACATACATATACATACATACATACATAGTGTCAGACTTTGCAAGATGTGCCTTATTGGAAACAAGGTATTACAGTCTACATATGTAGGAGTTTTAGACCTAAGAAATTTATTTATCCATACTGCAGTAATAAGGTTATAAAAATAACCCAATATGTATAGGCAATTAAAAAGGCATTAGTTCATCAGCTTAATTAAAAAAACCGAACATTTCGAACTGAACTTTGAATTGAATATTCAGCGAAAAAGTAAAAGACTCGTTGGAAGACCAATCAACCTAAAATAAACGCAATATTTTAAACCAAAAGCAAAGAGACTTTTTAATATGCTTATATTTATAAAGGCGTTTTTTGTCGACCTGTAAATTTAAAATGAAGTTTTAGTAATATTACAAATTAAAATAGACAGACAAGCTTAGAAAATGTTAGTTAAGCTAGACAAGTTAAAAACATGATTGTACGAGGCAAGATATACTTTGAAACGCTAGAAAAGCAAGATTTACAAAATCATCAAATTCAAATAGGTTTTATAAGACTAAATATCCATTAAAAATCCAGATAAACTTAAAAGAATGGAGGAGATTGGGGATGGAAAAAACTTAACTCGATTGGTTTAAATTATTTTTACAACCTAGGAGATAATCGAATACTTTGCTTGAAAATAATACAGCTTAAATTATAGAAGGAAGATATTCATTCCAAGATGAAAATCAATTTTTACCTCCCTATAAATTTCATATCGAGCCCAATATGATAGACATATGCCTCCATGATACCAAGCGATTATCGACGTATTATTAGGACGTTTGCATCTTATATCCATGAGTAAAAACAAATAAATGATAAAAGATTCTAAACAATCAATCTGCTCTCCTACAAACTGGACTTAGCCCAGGGCTACCGCTTAGTATGCGTATTTCGAGTTGTAAATTTAAATTAATAAGCCGTTTTAGGGCCCGCAAGCCCTTCCCAACCGAAGGCAAAAAAATCAATTTGCTCACCGTAATTGTGGTACACTGCCGGATCGTTGGGGGCAATTTTTTGCGCCTTCCTGAACCATCGTTCGGCCTCGCTGCTACGGCTGACCTGGAACAAAAGTGTAATGTTAATTAGAAAATACACACACACACACACATACAACAAACCTACGAATATTTTCAAACAATAGAGAAAAGGGGATTTAGCAAGAGCGAGCACGTTGCATTCGGTTTTTGTTGTTGATGCAAGCGAAAAATAATTATAACTTTATGTAAATATAATCCACGAAGTAACACCATAGAGGCGCGCGATGTGAAAAAAACTGTTTGTTTTGTGTTATGGTTGTGCTTGCTAGTTTGCTTTTTGCTTTACAAAGTGAAAACTGCGCTTGTTTTATGTTTGATTAGATTTTTTGTGTTGGGAAATCTGCAATACTTTATGCTATATCCGCAGGATGCTAATAATAAGATATTTTAGGTCAAAGTTTAAAAAATCTTGATTATAACTCTCATAATAGTATAGTATCTTCACCTCGCCAGAGTTTTTGTTTTGAGTGCGTTCCACCAACTCCAAATACCGACAGACGGCTGTTTCGATCTAAATTGGGTCTCATCAGTGTCGGGAAAATTGATGTAGTGAAACACACCCTAAACGAAAAACTACTTAAGCTTATATACTGCCCAAGCAAGCCGACAAAGGCGAGATGTAAGATGCATACTATGCAACCAAGAATGCACGGCAAATTGTATCACAGATATTATATGATTATGTCTATTTTTTTCTATATTTTACATTTAAAAATAATATAAAAATGCCGTCGGCAATAAAATCGTTTTATAATTTAAAGAGAAACCAAATCGATGAAACAAAATGTAAGTAATTAATTGCTTAATCATTTTAAAATCATCTCCGAATGAAAATCCTTGGAGTTTTTTATAATCGGGTAAAATTGGGCAAATATTTGAAGTAATCAATGATACCTTTCTAATTTTATTTTAATTTTGCAATTGATTTTCTCGTTCCGGCTAAGAAGCCCGGCCTCTTTTTCTCCCATCTCTCCCTTGTAATTTTAATTAAGGAAAACTAGCAAATAATAAAAAGAGAAAGCGAGACCCAAATTATTAAAACAGTCGACGAGACCTGTTTAAGACGAAGCAAATTAATAGTTTCCTGAGAGGCAGTTTTCGCATTTTTGATGGGCATAATTAAAATTCTGTTTTCACGAGCTGATTTATTTAATTAATAACGGAAAGGTTCGCTGTATGCATAAAACAGCCAAGCTATTTTAATTATAATTGACTAATATCATTCGAAAGTGAGGATGTCAAGTTACTTGATGAGAAGAAAATCTATATACAACAACCATTTTTATTTGCCAAAACAATGTAACAAATCGTTTAATTTATGCCAGAGAGAAATCAATTTGACGTACTGTCTCTTTTCAACAACTAAGATTCTTGTTCTCCGTAGAGGTGCAATTAAATGCATTTTAAAGTTTAAAGGAAGACTTGATTATTAAACTTAGCAGCTGGGAAGAGTTTTTGTATTAATTAAAACTATAGTTATAGTTATATATAAGTTAGTTGTTGTTTGTTAGCAACTAAGCTACAACATTATAAAAAAACTACTTACATTTCGGGCGATGAGTTTTCCATATCCTATATAGGATGCGACGTTGTCAGGCCCAGCCCTCATTGCAGCTCTGTACCATCGTTCGGCCTCTTCGTGCCTGTTCAGGAGGTAAAGGGTTCTTCCAAGGACATTGAAGACTTTCTAGAACAAAGGATAAAGTTAAATATCATAAACAATGTTTTATAATTGTAATAAAAAATGTGATCCAAAAATGTGATCCAGAACCCACGTTTATCTACTACCAATGACCAAGGTCCAAAAATGCTGCTTTTAATGATAAAATTTTCTTTATTATGTTGGTATACATGCCCCCGAAGTATGATAAAAACTTTAGCTGTTTTCATTGTTTACTTTGTCTGTGGCAGCCGCTAAGGTTAGACGTGTTTTATGAGCTCGGCGATTTTTCGTTCGTTAAAAGAAATGGATCAAAGAAATTGTGTCCAATTTTGCTTAAAAAATGAAATAAATTCTGTGAAATGTTAACAAAGGCCTATATTGAGTCTGCTATCTAAAACAAGAGTTTACAAGTGATATAAGAGTTTCCAAGATGGCCGTGAAGACGTTGAAGATGACGAACGCCCCGAACGCACAAGCACATTAACAACCGATAAAAATATGGAAAAAGTGAAAGAAATGGTTATAAACCATTAGAGAAGTCGCTGATGATGTTGGTATATCCATTGGCTCATCCCATGAAATTTTTTCGAATGTTTTGGGTATGAAACGCGTGGCAGCAAAATTTGTTCCAAAATTGTTAAATTTTGAACAAAATTTTTAGCCAAAAACAATACTGCAATGATGCCCCAGCCTCCATATTTGCCAGACATGCCTCTGTCTGACTTTTTCCTATTCCCAAAAATAAAGAGAACCTTAAAGGGCCGTCGTTTTGCAAGCATAGATGACATTAAAAGCGCATCGCTAAAAGAACTAAAGGCTATCCCAAAGATAGAGTATTAGAAGTATTTCGAGTATTGGAAGAAGAGCTGGCACATGTGCATAATATCCAAAACGGTGTTATAATGAAGTCATTTTGAACGCAAAATAGATACAAAATATTGTGATTTTTCCAGTCCAAGTGGCTTTTGGCTGTATTCCAGTGTTATAAAGGTTATAACAACGCTTAAAAAGTTAATTAAGTTCCGAAATGCCTGTTTTGATTGTGTACTAAGCGCAGGGGCTTAACTCTGAAAAATGTATCGGTGGCTTTCATTAAGTCTGCTGCCAATTTTCCAATAATTCAAATTCAATAGTGGAGCGAACGGTTTGAATATTCAATTTTGATTTTAAAGACAATGTTCGGAAAGGGATCCGAAAAATATCGGTAGACAATGCGAAATGAAACAATAAAAATGTTGCAGTAGCAATCCCGTGCCCGGCTTTATTGTAAAATCCATTCTATTTGCTCATTTTAAACGGCTCGATGATTTATTGCTACCGACGTGTGTGTGTGTGTACCTCTTGTTTTCGACCAGTGCATTACCAATCCCCTCCAACGCAAAAAATATATGGTTCGCACCAAATGTAAAATTGTAATTAATTAACAATTTGTCTGTTGCTTTTGTTCGTTGCTTTTTAACACAGAACTTTTTATGCAATCTATACAGTGTATCTAGATTATACACAGAAAAAGTATAGTTTGCAACTCGTTTATCTAACTTGTTACATAATTTAATATTATAACTTATTTAGTAATATTAAAAGATCACAAAAATATGACTTTTTTACTAATAATGGTCCAATAAATTTGACCCATCATCAATATTTTAGTTTCTAGGTCTTAATAACAAATACAAAAAATACAGATTTTTCTACCTAGCAAAAACTTTAGTTAATAAGTCTGCTTCTCGTTTTTGCACTTACCCCTTCCTATATATGGGTGATTCTACAAAAGTTGGGCAACTTTTGACCTCACTTAGTTTATATAGTTTTCGGAGAAAATTAAACAGTATTTTGTTATGAGAACATAGATAATATAATAAATATACTGTTCCAGACCGGGCCAGTCACTTTTTCAAACAGTTTCTGAAATATCTGTGTTTTCTAAATTTGAATGCAAGGGAAGTGACGAGTATACCAGGGTACTAATTAAATACATAATTTATTGCAACTTTGAGCATATTATACATTAAATATCTTAAAATCAAATAATACCACACATCAGTGGCGGCTGGTGGATTTTTTTATCTCAATTATTAGATATGGGACCCACACCAAATTTATATGAGTTTATAATGACATTAAATAAACAAGTTCTGCGCAAGCAGAATTTAAATTGAAGTTTGCGAAAAAAAGATAACCGAAACATCGAACATGGAACTGACGACACGGTACTGATGAATGGGATACAAATTTAAGATTATAATTCGGAATTAAGTATTTTACTAATATTTTTTATTAGTGGATGCTACTTATCAAAGTAACTATAGTAACTTATAAGTAAGAAAATAACTACTCACCACAGTACTGAAATTTTGACTGGAACTATACGTGCATTCACCACAACTTCGCCGCTTACATTGTTTTAAAGATGACTGTCGTGCAAAGGGCGGGCTCTGTAGGTAATTTTTTACCAACACTTGAGTTAAAACGAGGACTTGACGTTTAAACTTCAATATTTCGCAAGAATTTTGAATTTTAAAATTGGACACAGAACTGACGGGTAAAAGTAGGTACAAAGATTATTAATTTTTTTAAAATTGCTATTATTCGAATCTATGATAAAATATGATAAATACATTATTTAATGTTTTATAGTTTGTAGTGAAATTGAAAAATTTGAGATAAATTGAATATATTTTAAAACAAAACCACTCAAATATTTAATTTAGGAGTTATGACACGCCAAGGAACTGATGTTTTGAATATTTATTATGTTTTTCTACAATCGTTCTTTTAAAAAATACATTAAAATTGGGGTGGACAAGTTAAAAACCTGGATCTTTTGTAATATACTAAAATATTTACAAAAAATATTAAAATACCTACTATATTGACTGATGACATCAAGTTGTCCAACTTTTGTAGAATCACCCATATACATATAGGTATCGTAGATTTTGAAAAATGAAAAAAATGTTAAGTACTTTTTTTTGAAGGTTCAATATGAAGAGCTTGCAAGGAGAAATCAAAAAGTCAAGTGAAATTTTTTCATGTAATTTAAAAACTGTTTTCTTATAAGTCAATAAAATATTGATTTATAAAAGTCTTTACATAAACATCATTATTAGTCTTGTCACTCACTAATATAAAAAAATAAATCAAAGTCTGGTAAATAATTAAATAAATAAATCATTTTTTCCGAAGCAGAAAATAGTTTATAAATAAAGCTCAAAGCACCTTGCTATGTACGTAGGCATATAAATAATTTCATATTCCATATAATTTGTGTGATAGCTTTATAAAAACACAGTAGCGTGTAGATTGTAGATAATATTGTTTGCTCGGCGGATACATACATAACAATAAAGGTATTTAGGTGACAAACTAATGAAAATAACATTTATGTCGACTGCAACTGGAATAAAACCTTATCGATTAACAGTAAGTATAGGTTTCCTTAGAATTAAATATGTGTTTTGTAAGAGTTAAAAATCGCTATAAATTATATTTTCTCTGAGACAATATCTGATTTCCTTAACTTTTATAAAGAAAAAGAGGAATGTATGTAAAAGAGATTTGAGTTTAATATTTTAAGGTTATGATGCAGGTGGAAAATAACTCCTCTCATCAAATAATAATGGACAAACTTATTTCCACAATCCACATTATTAAATACCTTTCAAAATTGACGATAGGCATTTTGCATGAAATTCGGTCTCTATTGATCACAAAATAATTCGTTCGGCCGGATATTGCATTAATAGTTTACATATTATGCTTTATAATATAAATTGTAATTAAATTTTGATTAAATCGTCATTTAAAAATATAATCCGTTCTGAACATTGTTTTTTCGATAATTATAAAATCATTATGTTTCCAGAACATTCAAATAGTAAGGGAGAAACATCAATCATTTATTGTGTGCCGTATAAAATGCACCAAAAGAATTGTTAAAATATTGAACGAATGAATAAATCTAATTTACAAAACGTCATTGTTGTATGGGATCGATTAACCTGAATAAATATGGATTAACTATAAGTCAAAATTTAATTTATGGAAAATAATACACAGAGAGACGCCAACGTCAAGGTCAATGTACTATTTGTATTGTTTGTTTTAAGCTTGTCCATGTTCTATCTATCGAGAGCGGTCCGGAGGACGCTGGAATATTCGGGAAGGCACGGAGGCACTGAATATATAAGGAACAGCGCAACATGGAGCAGTTAGTCAAGTTAGACGAAATAAAATAAATATTCGTGTAAAAAAATAGAGTCTTGTACAGTGGTGTTATATTAATGATTAATAATTAAGTGTTTAGTTAGTTTCTTAGTGTTTTAATTCACACTACGAACAGTAAAAACGTTACAAAACAAACACCAATAAATGAAGAAAATTATGAGAATGCCTTTTCATTAATGTCCCACTAACTAGCTATATAAAGTCATAGCAGATAAAGTGACTTTCTTAACAAAGCTCTTGGAGTTTAAATCCTGGCAAGGGGTTTGTTCCGGCGACCATATGGCTTTGCCAGTACGTCTGGCAGCTGGGGCCTGACAAATGTCGCGCTTACTGATAATCACCCTGAGTGCTGGCGGACTTTCCAGCAGCAGAAACCTCTTCACTACTCTGCCACGAGAATTCTACGAGGATGCATATAGAAATGGTTAAATGTAATAGCAGTTATGTGTATGTGTATTCGTTTAATTTAATTTATATGTCGGCGTTGAAGAATGTTGTCGCTTGTTGCGCAAATATTTGCGCGCGATATTCCATTTTGTTTAATGGAAAGCCAGAGCAAAGTAAACTGTGCCGTTATTCTCGGATGCATTAAAAGTAATTGGTTTTTATTGCTCGAGACTCGGAATTCTAATGGCGCTAAGACGAAATAAGAAATACCCTTTTAGACTTGCCTACCGATGCGTATTTCTTTATTTAAATATTGTTGAGGGGTTTAATGTATACTTAAGTGGGGTTAGAAGGCCACTTGTTCTTCAGACGCCCATAATGCTATGAACTGTACAACCTAGGGTTTCCAGGTGTCCTGTACTTATGATTTAAATATGGCTAAGGCATCTACAGAACGCTAAATATCCTGTATTGCTTTGTACTTTCTCTGAAATATCTTCAGAGCTACCGAAAGAAATTCAGAAAGACAGAGCTAATGTTGATGTTGATAGTTGGTTTCCATGGTAACGCCTTTTGCTTTTGACAGTTGCAGTGACGTTTCTATATGCAGTGTTATTTTAACTCTTAAACCCAAGCAACATAAAACAGTGAGTCTCGGGAAGAGCAGAAAGCAAAGATTGTGATGGCTAAATATATGACCCATACAAACAAAAGTGTACAATTTTTCTACTTATACTTAAATGTACAGTAAATCAAAGCTTAAACCCAACATAAGGACTCACCTGTCTAGGGTAATGATCCGGTATACTCGTAGCGGCTTCAGTATAAATCTCTAAAGCTCTATGCAGCCTTCCTTGCTCCGTATAGAGATCACCGAGCTGAATCAGTGCTGATACCTGCAAAGGTAAAAAATATTTCAGTGTTCTTCCACGTCAAAGTTGTAGAGTGAAAAAATCACACTATTTTCAATCCTAAAATATATTTTTGGGTCCAAATACGATGGAATAGTGTTCCACATCAATCTAACGTTACTCTTAAATATTCATTTAACACTAGCCAAGCTGTGGCAGTGCACATTAGTGTAAATATTCAATCAAGGGGTGTTCAGTTGACAAAAACGCAAACTTGTTTCATTCATTATTCTCTCAAAATTTGTGGTGGAGGAATGTACCAAGCTGTTTAGTTGTGGTTTATAATTACTGTGTTAATTGTGTTACACTACAAAAGTACAACCTCTAGAGTTGAAGCTATAACAAGTGTTCTCTTAACCCATAGAAAGCTTTAAATGTTGTTTAAATTAAATAAATTTATTAATATTGTTTATTACCTTAGCACTGTCATGCTGTCGACGGTCTTTAAGACCGGTACCATCCAGCATGGCCACTTGATTTAGGATGTTGACCGCCTCCTCCGATCTCTTGGCTTCCACAAGAACTGAGGCCAGGTTGATGTAGGCCACTGCAATGAAAAGAAGTTTTTTAGTTTTTGGTGCTAGAAATAATACTATAAATAAATAATATATATACTCCTGCAATAAAGTATAAGACTGCTTTTTTAAACCAAAAAATCTAAATCGAATTCGCAGGAGCCAAAACAAGGACATAAATAAACACGGTGGCTTGAGAATCTAGAGTGTCGCAGACGTTTTAAATTGTTGATGTGTTCAAGACACTTCGCGACCAAATTTTTACGATTCTTTTACGTCTTGCTCGAGAGAGAACGTAGAAGTAGAAGCGAGAGCAAGCTTTCCTTGATAAATGCGACCGGATATCATACGTGACACTTTTATCATTTTTCCGAAGCCATATTTTTCGCAGTTCACAAGATAACGACGCTGAATTATTTTTATTAGTGTGTTTTATGCGCACCAACGATTTGTCAATGTTTGAGGTTTTTTCTGCGTCTTCTATTTCTCATATTTAATAAAAGATAAACAAGCCGTATCGTCCTTTCTTCGGTTTTTCATGATGCCATCTTTCACATAAAGAGAGCAAAAAATGTTTGTACAGGGACCCTTTTGCCAAACGGTTAAAAACAGAAAAAAAGTAAGTGAATATAAACGATTTTTATTAAAACATTTTTATGGCTATTTTTTTTATAAACCCTTTTAAAGATTTTTTAACCACCTTTATTTAAAATTTTTCACATAAAGGGAATTTATTCTATTAACCCAGACTTATTTTTACGTTATATAGTATATAGTTGGACGTAACATAAAAAGCTAAAATGTTAAAATGACGACAAGCTAAAAATGACAAAAAAGATAAAAACTAAAACATTGATGAACTAAATAAACCTTAATAGAATGACAACAAGCGCTTTTTAAAGCAACTGCAAAATTGATTGAGTTACATATTTCCAAGATTTTTTTAAATTTAATCATGCTGCATATTTTTGCATAGATTAATGTAAGCAAATTTCCAAACAATTTGAAATTAAAATAAATCACGGAATTCGCAGTGTAGAAAAGTTAGTCAAAAAGTTTATCCTTCCCTTTTCCCCAGATGATAAAATATTAAATACTGGATGCAGATAAGTTTTATTTCGCGTTGCTTTTCGCCCTTCCCCCCCAAAGGAGACAAGGGGCGTCTTTTCCTCATTCTAACGGGATTTCCATAAGAAGTGTTAATTAGAGAAGTTTCATCTATGCTCGAGAATTAGGTATTCATGAATCCTGTGCTTCAGTTACAAGTTTCCAGACTAACCGTCATGAAAATCTAATGGCCAATGTCGCTGATAGAAATTACTCGCCTTTGTCCCTTGCTGTAAATTTAATAACACTTTTTGTCCAGAAGTCAAAGCTACCACCAGCTACTACAACTACACTGTTTTGAATACTCTAAGAGTTTTTATTTCCTATTTCCCAAAGTTTACACTAAAATAACTACTTAATATTTGAAATGGATTGTAAAATATTAGAGCCCCATGTTAATGGAAAAACAATGAGATACTCCTCAGAAAGTACTGGGTAAGTGGAATGCATTCTGCTATAGAACTGGTAACTAGAAAATTGAACCTTCAAATCGCTAGAGATAATGTTTTTAGCGCGTTCCACCAACTTAAAATACTTCAAGTATTGACAGCTTTTTCCACCTATTTAAGGTCTCTTTAGTATCGAACAACTTGTAGTGTCACACCAAAGCAAAGGACTACCTGAGCTCATATACTCTTCATGTAAGTCAACAGAGGCGAGATTTAAGAACATCACGTGATCCGCACCGCCTTTGCCGCGATCGGTACACACTATGCAACCAGGAATGCACGGCAAATTGTTTTAATCGTGCTTTAGGTTGAAGTAACTCTTATTTTACAAACAACATATTTAGTAAATTGAACCATACAGCGGGTTGGTTCAACAAAAGTTTTCTGGATTAATTTAACCAATTTAAAAAAATAAAATAACCATCTGGTTTAGTACCGTCAAACTAATCTTTGTTTATATTAACCTTTCCATAGTTAATGTAAATAAATACTTATGGGTCAACTAAATTAATATAGTTAAATGAATTATTCCTTTTTTTCTGTGTAGGTGCACTTCTAAAATATTTTTAGATAAACACCGTTTTGGTGTTTGCTGTATATAACATTTCAACCATAATTCATGGTGTTTATATTAACACCACTTGGTGTTAGATTTTGACACCATTTTAAGATTACTCTTTACACCACACATATTTTAAACAGTGTGAAACGATTTATAAAAAATATTTTGCGCATACTTCATTGAGCAGGGGGTTTGACGAATGGATGCCGTAATAATAAAGAAAAACCTTTGGGGGAGACTCCAAGTGCGGTTAATTAGCGAACGAAATGATAATGGAACAAACAACAATATAGCGAAAAGAAATGTCACTGAGCTCTGTAGTCGAGTGGGTAAAGGAAATACATGTCAAGTGCGGTCCAAAAAGCGGTCCCGAATTGTCATGCTAATTCGAATGAGATAGGAGGAAAGAGAGAATTTTAATTTCGGAAAGAGGGTTCATAATTTTGGTAATTGCAATGTTGTTTATTATGTAAATGTTTTTCATTTTTGTTATTAGTGTAAAAGGTTGTAAAATTAATAATTTAGTTCAAGTGATGTTTATAAGTTATTTTCCAATCAATGTAATATAATTATTTCCATAAAAACTAACGACTTAACTTGTTAATTTATTTATGTTTCTGAGTCATTATTGAATAACTTACTTTACTTTCAACAGAAGTTCGTGATTTTATTTTTCTATACACATAGTCCGACCTTTTGGATACATCAAAGGACTGTAATTCGGAATTGAAAATTTAGCAAAATTCAGATGCAAATTTGCGGAAAATAATTAAAGGAATTGTCAAAGCAATGAATAAAAAGTAATTTGAATGTAAAGGAAAGCGAAGTCGACAGACATGGGGAAAGAAAGGGAAATCGTCAATAAATGGCGAACAATGTTAAAGAAGGAGAGAGGAGGGAAAAGGGGCAGAGAGGGGGTGGTGATATTAAACATTCGGGCCGCCTAACAACACCAATTCATATCTGGACTACGCAGTCTAGCGAAATCCTTCTCATCCAGAACATATTTTTATGCAAAGGACGTCACGCCGACGCCGAGTTTTATTGCTAGAGAGCAAAATGAAGATGTGATCCTTCAGGAAACTGCTACACGGAGACAAATTTTCAAGCATAATATATATATATATATATTACTTATTACTTAATCGTCAGATATTATTGACAGCAAGCATATTGTAACGTTTTTACTGTTCGTGGTGTGAATTAAAACACGCACTGGTTTATTAGCAAAGTAAATGATTTATTTTATAACTTAATTACACTTAAAACACTAAGAAACTATAAAACTAACTAAACACTTAACTACTAATTATTTATATATCACCACTGTTCAAGAGTCTATTTATTTGCACGTATATTTATTATTTCGTCGCGAGTACCAAAGCTTGACTGACTGCTCAGTATATTCAGTGCCTACGTGCCTTCCCGAATATTTCAGCGAGCTTCGGACCGCTCTCGATCGCTGTATTTACCAGATTTGTCCCCTGTGACTTTTTTCTTTACCGGAAGATGATAGCGATATAGTGACGTCAATATATTCCTTTCTCAAATGTAACTGGGTAACTCCTATCGATTTATCACAATTATTGACGTATTGAATGATGACACTCAAATTTGCAAGCAATGTTAACAATCTTTATAAGATCTTTATTAATTTCTCTTAGTGTATATTCTGGATCGTTGGAGGTGGAGGGAAGTTATGAATATGAGGTCTCGAGTCGGGAGACGTTGGCTTGTTCCACCCCGAAAATATGAAAAGATTTTGATTGTAGGATAATTTGACGTTTCGGATAGTCTTTCATCAATATTCCGAGGAGAGCGTTTCTGAAGGGCTGGGCGCCAGCAAATTCCTTCTCCTCCACTCTCCATGCCGGGTTTCAATAAAAGTAAAGCCTGATAAATTCGTTTTTCATTCCAATTTATGCATATTGGACCATCAAAGACACCGTCTTATTTCATTTAGATCGTGGTCTGCCTACCCCGCAACGAAAATACACGAGAAAATTGAGAAAATTGGCGTAATTTAATTTGCGGAATGTACCGTTGACTGACAAAATCAATTTGTTGATGATAAATATTGCGTGATGCGGTAACGACCTCTCTTAAAATAAATTAGTCAGAATTCGACTATTTGAATTTGTAACGGCATATACTATTTACTATTTTTTGCTTATTTTTTAAATTACGTTTAAGTTTGCCTGAGAAATAATTTATTAAAAATTACGCATATTTAATTAAGGGAATGTGAAAACCTTGAAACAAAAATGTAAATTTGACAATTTAAAAAAAATAATTTTATTTGCTCCAATTCTTCAAAAAATTATCCCGGCGCATTCGCCATTTTTGACAATGATTTTGTTTTAAATTGTTTTAACATTTTTAGGCCCGGTTTTTCAATATTGCATTTAATTAGTACTTTCGTAAGTTACAGTTATATTTAACTACAGGTAAATTGTTAATTAAATTGTAATTTGTTTTTTCATGCATTTTGAAGTATTAGTTACAGAATCACAACTTTTGACATATTTTTATCATGTTGGTATTAAATATTGATCATGATATACAACCTTATATGCATGTATAGAGATAGTTGAAGTGCGTCTTTTTCATTAGCGGCAGACAAAAAACTCAAAAAAGCCTAGGGATAGAAGTAAATCCATAGGTGACTCAATAGACGTCAAATAATAAAATTAATTTAGCATTTCATACTAAGCAATCACGATGTATTAATTATATTAATTATAATCGCACGGAATATTTAGTGATTATTTATTAAATTTTAATTGAACGAAATAAAGAACAACTAGTTTATTAGTATAATATTATGATGATAGACGAGTCGCCAATGTCGGAATTTCAAACAAATGTCAGTACGTCAAAATTAATTAATAATAATTTATATTCGTAATTTATA